GGGATGAATTACTATGGAGATGATGAATACTATATGGGGATGAATTACTATGGGGGATGGGATGAATTACTATATGGGGGATGAATTACTATGGGGATGAATTACTATATGGGGGATGGAGGATGAATTACTATATGGGGATGAATTACTATAGGGGGGGATGAATTACTATATGGGGGATGAATTACTATAGGGGGGATGAATTACTATATGGGGGATGAATTACTATGGGGGATGAATTTATGTGGGGGATGAATTACTATGGGGGGATGAATTACTATATGGGGATGAATTACTATATGGGGGATAATTACTATATGGGGGATTAATTACTATATGGGGGATGAATTACTATGGGGGATGAATTACTATATGGGGGATGAATTACTATAGGGGGGGATGAATTACTATATAGGGGGGAATTACTATATGGGGGATGAATTACTATGGGGGATGGGGGGATGAATTACTATGGGGGATGAATTACTATAGGGGGGATGAATTACTATATGGGGGGGATGAATTACTATGGGGATGAATTACTATATGGGGGATGAAGCTAACTGCACGATCCTGTATATAGCATTAAGGTAAGAAACAATATATGCAATGTCGGATTTGTTTTAAATGTTGCAATGGTTTTTGCGGCTCCCAGTCTTTTTTTTTCCCTTCGGAAACGGGTCCAAGTGGCTCTTTATGTCTTAAAAGTTGCAGACCCCTGTCCTATGGTGTATCTGAGAGCTCTTGCAATTTTCCATTTTGTGAATAATCTGCTTATTCATCTGGTTCACCCGGATGCTTGATGATTTTAAAGATTTAAAGATGAATTATAACCAGGCAGTTCCTCCTTGTGTTACCATTTAAAACTTGGGGTATGATGATTTATTTATGTGATTTATATTTTAAATTGTTTTGTCCTCTTCTTTCTATTCCCTTTACATGCACCTGCACATAGTGACTGTTGTATGGATTTTTATTGCTACATTTTCTTGTGCCACAACTCCCTAGAAATCTCAAAGTAGCAGCTATGAAACTGGATAAAAATCACCTTACTCTCTACAGATTGCTAGATAGTTGTGGCGTGAAGGAGGGAACAATAAAAAGCTCACAACAGTCTCAGTGCATAGGCATAAATTCTTAATAGCTCATTAATTAAAGGGGCTGCCCCTCTTTTGTAATTCATTTCCTGTCTTTCATTCTTCTCAAATGTTACTTTTAGTTTTGGTGCAAGGATCTGTATGAAAAAATTTACTATTTATTCACTAGAATTTTTTATTGTGCACTACATTTTTCCACCATTCTTTAAGTTATAGCAATGGTTGCTTTGAAACACTAATGCAATGGGAACGTGGCAGTTACCAAGCCCCAGTGGTTTAAGTATTTATTTAAGTATTTATTACAGCCTATTAATTTGCCATGCTTTGTGTGATTCAGAGGGTTTTGGCAGAGTTATGTCCTTTATCCAAATATGCTGTGCTAAAAATATCCCCCTTTTCTATCTCAGATGGTTGCAGAGGGTATTAGCATGGGCACTGTTAGATAGGACGATATGAAGAATGGCATGGTTTACCTATGCAGTTTATCTGTGATTAAAAACCTTGCTTCGGTATTGACTTAGCTGTAAGGGCTCATGTACACGGAATGTTTGGAAAACTCTGAATGATGGAAACTGACTGCTGGAAAATGTAGGTTAGAAAATGTCTGATTAGTCACGTTTGCATACCGCGTTTATGCGCGTTTGTGTTTAGAAGCGTTTTTTTTAAGATAACCTCAGGAGACCTTCCAAAATGCCCAGAATGCACTGAAAAACAGTAAAAAAAATTAACTATTTTGAGAGAAATAGAGAGAGCAGAAGCAGAGAGAGCAGTATGTGTGAGCAGTATGTGTTGAGATGACCTGTCTTTTCTGGTTGTATTCACTATGGATCCCACTCTGAGCATAATGCGGCACGTTCTACCATTTTTCCTTCACACAAAACCTGGAACTGACTGCGCTGGTGTGCTAGGTCCATTTGAATACATGGAAAATGCTTTGCATGCATTTATGATGATGAAAAAAGGCTCTGGACAGCATCTGGATATGGAACAGTTAAAAAACGCTTCTAAATGCAAATGCTTATAAATGTGGTTAGCTGCGTTTACAAGCGTTTGGCATTTGAAACGCTGATAAAATCTATTCCTGAACGCAAGTTTGGTGCGTTCAAAAAAAACTACTGTAAACTCAACTGTCTGTAAATGACTGTAAATGACATAGTGTACATGGACATTAGGGAGAGTTTAGGGCAGGGGTCCTCAAACTACGGCCCGCGGGCCACATGCGGCCTGCAGAGCACATTCATCCGGCCCGCCGGCAGGGGACATCAAGTACAGGGGTGGGCAGGGGGCTGCTGTCTCTTACCTGGCTCCAGTCCCACGACGATCCAGTCCAGGATGCGTAGCTCCTTCACTCCGGCCGCTCCCTCACTCGATGTCCGCCCTGCCGCTCGACTCCGCCTCCTCACCGGTGATTGGGCGCCAGTACTGTAGCTCAGGAAAGGCACACAGGCGGCCAATCAAAAGCGAGGAGGCGGAGCCGAGCGGCCCCACGAAAATCAAGGGAGGGAGAGGCCGAAGTGAAGGAAGGACAGCTGACCGCTGTTCACGGTAAGTGTGCCGTGCAGATGGTACTGCTGCAACGAGGTATGCTGGCTGCAGCAGCACCATGCTGGAACAGGGGTCGGCTAGTTTAGTGTCATTGCTGTCAGTGGGAGGAATGGTGCCCCATCGTTGGTGTCACTAATAATAATAATGGGGCATTATTCCTCCCACTGACACTAATGATGGGGCACTATTCCACCCCCCCCCACTGGCACCAATGACGTACTGTTCCTCCCACTGACACCAATGATGGGACACTATTCCTCCCACTGACACCAATGATGGGACACTATTCCTCACACTGACACCAATGATGAGGCGCTATTCCTCCCACTGACACCAATGATGGGGCACTATTCCTCCCCCCACTGACACCAATGATGGAGCACTATTCCTCCCACTGTCACCAATGATGGGGCACGATTCTTCCCATTGACACCAATGATGGAGCACTATTCCTTCCACTGACACCAATGATGGGGCACTATTCCACCCCCCCCCCCCACTGGCACCAATGACGTACTGTTCCTCCCACTGACACCAATGATGGGACACTATTCCTCACACTGACACCAATGATGAGGCGCTATTCCTCCCACTGACACCAATGATGGGGCACTATTCCTCCCCCCACTGACACCAATGATGGATCACTATTCCTTCCACTGTCACCAATGATGGGGTACGATTCTTCCCACTGACACCAATGATAGAGCACTATTCCTCCCTGACACCAATGATGGGGTACTATTCCTCCCACTGACACCAATGATGGGGTACTATTCCTCCCACTGACACCAATGATGGGGCACGATTCTTCCCACTGACACCAATGATGGGGCACTATTCCTCCCACTGATACCAATGATGGGGCACTATTCCTCCCACTGACACCAATGATGGGGCACTATTCTTCCCACTGACACCAATGATGGGGCACTATTCTTCCCACTGACACCAATGATGGGGCACTATTCCTCCCACTGACACCAATGATGGGGCACTATTCCTCCCACTGACACCAATGATGGGGCACTATTCCTCCCACTGACACCAATGATGGGGCACTATTCCTCCCACTGACACCAATGATGGGGCACTATTCCTCCCACTGACACCAATGATGGGGCACTATTTCTCCCACTGATACCAATTATGGGGCACTATTCCTCCCACTGACACCAATGATGGGGCACTATTCCAAATTCAAAATCCTTACACTGACGTACAAAGCTGTTCACCACCATACTGCCCCGAACTACATCACTCACCTAATATCCAAGTACCGCCCAGCACGCACACTCCGCTCCTCACAAGACCTCCTTTTCTCTAGTTCCCTGGTCTCCTCCTCCCATGCCCGCCTCCAGGACTTCTCCAGGGTGTCACCCATCCTCTGGAACTCCCTGCCCCAACCCATCAGATTATCACCTACTCTCCTCTCCTTTAGGCGCACCCTGAAAACCCATCTCTTCAGGGAAGCCTACCCCACCCCCTGCTAACCTGCCGACCTCCTCCACTCTTCCTACCACTCCATCCCCCACAGCTATTTCCTCCTGTACCACTATCCCCTCCCTCTTAGATTGTAAGCTCGAAAGAGCAGGGCCCTCGAACCCCTCATGTTTTGCATTGTATTGGTATTGTTCTGTCACATGTTCTGTCCCCCTTTGTAATGTACAGCGCTGAGCGAACCATTGGCGCTTTATAAATTCTGTATAATAATAATAATATTCCTCCCACTGACACACCAATGAAAGGGCACTATTCTTCCCACTGACACCAATGATGGGGCACTATTCCTCCCACTGATACCAATGATGGGGCACTATTCCTCCCACTGACACCAATGATGGGGCACGATTCCTCCCACCGACACCAATGATGGGGCACTATTCCTCCCACTGACACCAATGATGGGACACTATTTCGCTCCATAAGACACACTTAGGGGGAAATGTCTGTGCGTCTTATAGAGCGGCCGGCCAAGTATTCCCACCGCCGTTGTAGGTCCGCAGTCTCTGAACAAATGCGGACACAGTACAGGAGATGACCATAGTTTTTTTTTTAAAAACTCCAACGGTCTGAGGGACAGTGAACTGGCCCCCTGTTTAAAAAGTTTGAGGACCCCTGGTTTAGGGGCTGCTAAAAAAAACGCAGAAAAGCTCCTGAGCGTGAGTTTATCAGCTGCAGTGTACATGAGCCCTAATCATGCAATTGTACATTATTATAAAATGTATTGAAATGGTGTATCTGGTGCATTTGCTTTAATATTTTTATAGATGACTTCAGTGATATTATATTTCAGTCGAGGGAAGCTTTTGCTCTTGCAAAGTAATTTTTTTCATGTTTACTCCAAAAGGTCTCATCATGGCACTGACAAAACAATACATGGAATATGAAGGAATGAGAGTCCCTGGTGGTGTTCACACACATGAAAGCTTAACTTGGGCATGGAAAGAGTTTGAAACGCGCGATGATGATGTTTTTAATGTAACTTATCCCAAGTCAGGTAATTTTTTTTGCTACATGAAAATTGTTGGTCTTTTTAGTTTAAAATAATTTGTGTTTTTATCTCTTAGAGATGATTATTCGTCTTATGAAAAGTTTTCAGAATTTTGGAAGCAGGATCTAGATTTTTATCACTGTCCCAGGAAGGGTGCAATATATATGTGCACCTTACCTGTTACAGTACATGGTCCCTGGTGATGCCACCACCCTTGCAATAATAATTAAAATGCTTGGGCCCTGGTGATGCCATCACCCTTGCTGTGATGATTAAATTATGCATACTAACTCTATGCTCCGGACATTCATTAAATGAACTTATAAGTCATATATTTGAACCCTGGTCATTAAATGCTTCTATAAATTGTGAAACTTGAAGAACTTCCATAGTTGTGGTTAAAGTGAAACTTTACCAGTAACAACTTAATAAAAAAAATGTACTTTAGCAAGAAACATACATTTCAAATTAATATTTATGCTACCAAAATGAGTGTGTTATTTAAATTGCTTCCAGCACTGTTCCTGTTTCTTCTTGCCAGAAGCTGCCATCTTGCTGAAGCCAAGAGCCCCTGAGCTGCAGTAAACCTTTAGGTGATGATGGGGGTCCTCTGGAGTTTTAGCTTGCTGGCATACTTGTCTTCATAGTAGTGCAGATGAAAAATGGTATTGCATGGTTGTTCAGTAGATATGTTGCAGGGGCGCAAGGCCCCAAGGACTCCGTAAAACCACAGAGGGTTGGTGGCAGGATGCCCAAGAATAGAATTAAGGACTCCTCTTATCGTATCAGGGAGGTCTACATCTTTAGTTGCTTTGGGCAGGCTCCACAATCTGAGGTTGTTTTGTCTATTTCTATGCTCTTGGGTATTCCAGCTTGTAGAGAGCAGACAGATGGATAGTTGCTATTTGCATGCGCCAATCCTGTATTTCCTTAAACTAAAACTTTACCCATAACAATCTGATAAAAAATATTGTTCTTTAGCAAGGAACATACATTCCACATTAATAATTATAGTATGCTACTAAAATTACTGTGTGCTGTAAATTACCTCTAGAATTGTCTGTTTCTTTCTGCTGGAGGCTGCCATTTTGCTGAAGCCCAGAGCCCCCAAGCAGCAGTAAATCATTAGGCTTTACATGTAATATATATATATAAGGTGCAGCGCTAAATAACATAAATGACATAAATAACATATTATAAATTAAGTTCAAATAACATATCACACTAAGGTGAGATTGAGTGAAATGAAAAGTCCCAAAATAAGGCCAAGCGTGGGGATCCGATAGATCCTAATAGGTGCATGGGATAAAGTTCAGTGTATCACACGGTGAATCTGGGGTAAAAATTGCGCACTCACCAGAAGTGCGTCAAAAATACACATGTAAGATTTATCCTGTAGTATCGGATAGCGGTTATCAATTGCCAAGATAAGGACAGGGTCATACACCTTCCAATCGCAACTTAGGTTGGATATTCCAAAATTCATATACGTGTCTCAAGCGTGTCACCATCTGGGGTCCCCTTTTTGAGCAGGTTCTGCAAGTGGGGACTCTGCCAGTGTCCAGAGCCAGCACTCAGCGATGACACCTCATACCTGGGGTACGGCACAACTCCACACTGCACACGTCACTTCCGACTCCCCGGTCCCGATATTTTTTACTTTCAGCTATAAAAAAATATATAGTAAACTCAAAGTTAGTTATAAATTTAGGCCAAAATGTATTCTGCTACATGTTTTTGGTAAAAAAAATCCCAATAAGTGTATATTGATTGCTTTGTGTGAAAGTTATAGCGTCTACAAACTATGGTATAGATAATGGAATTTACGCCATTTTTTGCTATACAGCGCTGCGCTAGTTTAACGGACAATTGCACGGTCATGCAATACGGTACATAAATGAAATTTACATCCTTTTTTTCCCACAAATTGAGCTTTCTTTTGGTGGTATTTGAACGCCTGTGCGGTTTTTATTTTTTGCGCTATAAAAAAAACAGGCTGACAATTTTGAGGAAAAAAAAACAATATTTTGGACTTTTTGCTATAAAACATGTCCAGTAAAAAAAAAGGCAAAAATCAAATTTAGTCATAAATTTCTGCCAAAATGCATTCTGCAACATGTCTTTGCTACAGAAAAACCCAATACGTGTAAATTAATTGGTTTACGTGAAAGTTATAGCGTTTACAAATGGCGGGAAAGATACTGGGATTTTTAATTTTTTTTTATACTAATAATGGCGGTGATCAGCGACTTATGGCGGCGATCAGTGACTTATGGCGGGACTGCGGCGGACATTCTGACACTGGGGGGGAACTGACTTGGGGTCACTGACATCCCCAGTGACACCAATACAGTGATCAGTGCAAAAAAAAAACACTGACACTGTACTAATGGCACTGGGGAGGAAGGGGTTAACTTTATTATTCAGTGAAAGGGTTAACTGTGTGAGGGGAGTGTTTTACTAGGGGCCGGGGGTGTGTACTGCACGGAGACACACTGATCGGGACAGATAAAATCTTCTGTCCCGATCAGCGTGTCAGGAGCTGTCAGGGAATTGACAGAAAGCACAGCTACTGCAGCCCTGCTCTCTGTCAGTGATCGCCACTAATCGCTGGTACGTAGCCGGTAACGACCGGCTGTGACCCGGCGACTGACATCCGCGGCCGTGATCGGGACAGGTAGGGCGGCAGCGCGCCTCGCACGCGCCCTTTACCTGTTTTGAAAAACACAACGCTTTAAACCGTGGTTTTGCCCAGCTGTGCCGCCCTGCAGCCATATTTCTACAGTGGCTGGGCGGCATGTGGTTAATTTAAAATTTAAAATTTTATTTTTTATTGTTTTGCCACAGCAGCAGCAGCACTAAAAAATATTTGAGGCATATTTGCTGTTCCCCCTTCTGCGCCACAGGTGGTTCCCTTATTTTTCCCCATCATGTCCGAAAGGCCAACAAGCAGAGGCAGACACACACAGGCAGCTAAAAGAGGGCAAGCAGCCTCTGTGTCCACAGTGAAAAGTGGTGGTCGTAGACGCACATCTGGAAGAAAAATATATTTGAAATATATTTAAAAAATATTCTTTCCAAATACATTGTCATATATTTGAAATGCTACAATTTTGGCCATATTCTATGTATAAAAAAAAATATATATATATATATACTGTATGTTGAAATGCATTTTTATTACAAAATATATGAAAAATATTTTTAAAAATACATTTCAAATAAACTGTTCTTGTCTTTCAAAGCCAGAGCTCTACAGGTGCTTGAGCACTATGTGCTTGACAATACATATAACAACCTGCCATGCAGCCCGTTGTTAACAGCACTTGAAATACTCACATCCTAAAAAAGTGCAGACATTTCCTTGCTCCTCATCTCGGACCTCTACCTCTACTATAATACCTCAAGTCTTCTCAACAGCTTCCACTGAGAGGGGTGATGGCATAGCAATGGGTGCCACAGGTCATTGCACCCAATCTGCTAGCAGTACACCCCCTGTTGATTTCACCAGGCAAATTTCACTACCCCAGTTGTTGAGAAAAACGAAACCAGTGTCTAAATGCTATCTTGGCTAAATTGCTAGCGTTACAAACGCTGCCTTTCCATTTGGTGGACTCAGCCCTCTTCCGTGAATTTGCAGAATGTGCTGTACCACAGTGGCAGGTTCCCAAAAAGACATTTTTGTTCATGTAAGGCCATTCCAACTCTGTACCATCATGTGGAAGGCAATACTGTGGCCTCGTTGGACAGGGCAGTCAGCAGCAAGGTCCACATTATTGCTGACACGTGGTCCAGGGATAATACATTTCCTTCAAGTCGCACTGGGTAGCTCTGCTGGCAGCTGGGAAGGATTCAGGACAGGGTTCAGTGCTGGAGCTTGTTCCGCCACCACACCTCCAAAAAGTTGGTGGTGATTCTGTCACATCTGTCTGCTCCACCCCCTCTTCTTCCTCTATGGCCTCTTCTGGTGAATTGTCCTCTGAACCAACAGTTCTGTCTAAGCAATCAAGGGGCTATGCAAGCAGTCAGGCTAAAAGATGCCATGCAGGGCTTTAGCCTGTCTGTCTAGGGGACAGGAGCCACACTGGGGCAGAGATTCTGTCAGCTCTGCAGGGGCAGGTTCAGAGGTAGTTGTATGTGACATGGCACCAACCTTCTCTCCGCCCTCTGACAGGGACACTTGACACATGTTCCATGCTTGGCACACCTCCTGAATTTGGTGGTGCAACATTTCGTGAATAGGTACAAGATCTTCTGAGGCAGCCCAGAAAAGTCTGTGGCTATTTCCGGCGGGCATACAATGCCAGTATTCAGCTGGCTGACATTCAATAGGAATTCAACCAGCCCACCAACCACCTCATCTGCGACATGCCCACCAGGTGGAATTCAACATTGGCAATGCTGCAGTGGCTGCACACGCAGCAGAGGCCCATCATTGAGTACCTGTGTGAGTATGGCACCAGGACAGGATCAGGGGAGCTTGTCTTCTTTTCAGCACGCCAGGATAAAGGATGTATGTACTGTCCTTTCACCATTTGAGGAGGCCACAAGGATGGTGAGCTGCAACAATGCATGCTTTAGTGACACTATCCCTCTAGTCTTCCTGCTGGAGCACACGCTGCGTGGAATCATGGACAGGGCACTTGAGGCAAAACAGAGGGAGGAAGAAGAGGACTTCCTTTCCTCTCAAGGCCTGTTTATGCAAATACCATTCCTGCTGAGTCACAGAACAGGCAGCAGGAAAGGAGGAAGAGGATTGTGGCAACATGGAAGTAAAGGATAACATACGGTAGTCTTCAAGGGATGATTTTCAGTGCACAGAAACCCAGTAAGGAGTAGTATGTGGCTGGGAGGAGATCCTGACAGTGTCATCCTCAGTGACCCAGAGGACTCAGAATCTCATGTCTCCTCAAACATATGCTGCATGGGCTCCCTGATTCTGCAAACCCCGTGAAAGAATGAAAGGATTTGTGGTATGAAGGAGAGGGATCATTACTGGTTGGCAA